CATGGTCCAAGATTCATAGTTCTCTTTCTCTTTGCCTTCCTTTGTTATTTCCTTGTTGTGAATCCCCCATTAAATTACTACTACAACATATGTAAGAAATTTATTAGTTATTTCACAAGAATACATATCATACCAAACAAGAAAATAAAAGAAAAGAATTTCACTCATGTTTTCTATTTTTTATTTTCTTTCTAATTGTCCATGTGTATGTCGGGTGTTATATTCCTAAACGAAAACTATTGTTTTCAATTTATTTCTAATTGTCCAGAAACTAATCACTACAACAATAATAAGCATATGAATTTCAACTAGCTGCTACAATAATAAGCATATGTTGGTCTGGATGAAGGATGATAAAATACACCCCCCTAAAACTCGAAATAAAAATAAAAGACAATCTTGTTGGTCTGCTACAATAATAAGCATATGTTACTGTTGAACTGAAAATACTAACATATGTTGGCAATCCTTGTGGGGGTTAATCTTCGAATTGGAAAATACTGATTTCCTAGAAACTCATGTATTTGTCGATGAGAGTATCAAACTACTGTATTGGTCTGGTCATTCTTGAGTGCTATTATAAAGTCATTGAAGAAATACGAATTCTACTATATTGGACCAGACCTGTTTTGTTCATGCAATAGGTAGCAACAATTGTTGCGAGACACAGACCCACGAAGCATGGAAAAGATAGCAGCAAACCCACGAAGGGCCATAGACACAGATCTAACAAATATATAGACAATAAACGCAAGAAGACATAGCACGAGAAGGAAGCAATACCTTGTTGAAGAGCTGTTTATCTTCATGAAGAGCTGTTCGTCTTCTCTAGCAGACAAAAAAAAATCTCACGTGAAAATTCTGATGGGTTAGGGTGGGATTTTTTTATAGGGTTTGGTATTTATACCTCCCACTAAAAAGTCACACCAATTCCCTATTTAAAAAAAATCCTTCGAAATTAGCAAGTTTTTGACTATCAAAAGACTTTTTATTACTTGTTTAAAGCCTTGATTGAATACCACTAGATTTGGACACCCTCTTTAAAAAATCCTAATAGTCCTGATTGAATACCACAAGACTTGTTTAGATTATTTAAAAGTCTTAATTGAACACCACAAGACTTATTTATCCCAAAATAGTCTTTTAAAATCCTAATTGAATACACCCCCCTAAATGTACGGAAAAGCAAGAAATTTTGCAATTTTGAAATGTGCTATCGATATTTGTCCAATGTGGGATATTATCTCGATATCAAATCATAAACTTTCTTTCATTTTCTGGTGTTATTTCAGCTTCCAACAAGGGGGTTTTTACTTTTAGTAATCAAAAGAGAAAGTTGAAGCCTATGCTTTAATTACCTGCAAGGGAGGGACAAGAGAGACCACAAGGACGACAATGAAGAGAAAATTGGAGAGGGACGGAACTGTGGGGAGCATCGCGTAGCAGTAGATTCACTATAAAAGCAATCAATTTACCAGATTAGCAACAATTAGAAATCGCAGAATCAGATAATTAACTGTTTGGTTGCCCAAATTGCCATGAAGATTGATACTTTTCGATCTGAGAGAGAGAGATTACGTTTTCTCAGTAACGAAACATAAATTCACAATTGAATAGGAAAATAAAAGATCCACAGTTTTCTCAACAAAAAAAAGATGCACGGGAAAGGGAAAAAAAATGGACAAACCAGAAAATGACAACTTCGAACACGCTGAACTCAAGGCTGAGAGTTTCAGTCAAACTTGAACTCGATGCATATTAGTGTGGGGTTTGGGTCTAACAATATTGCTGTCACGCCCCGGACCCGGGGGTAGGTGGAAATCCCGCGCCCGGTGCGTGAGTAAAATAAAATAAAATACAAAGAAATACAAAGAAAAGTTTAAAATAAACTTATGTTATAAAAATAGTTCCCAAAATCTTACAACTTTACAATTAATAAATAAAGCTCTATCACTCTCATCTAATTCAGCTTCAACTGGTTTAGTCATTGTCTTGCCCACTAATTCATCTGAAAAATTAAACAGAGTGAGGGATGAGCAACCACCGCTCAGTAGGGACATGAGACCTTACCACAATAGATTGATATAACTAAATTAAGTGACATGCAATCACACAGCCAAATATCATATAATTAAGAATAATGAATGAATGAATGCTCTTCATCTAATCCCGTTAATTCATATAACTGGACAAGCAGACCTGCACGTCCCATACCATGCTTATACCACTTGGTCCCGAATGCCCATTTATATGAACTAACACCCATTTCAATCATCCCATAATTTCCCCTTTTGTTAGTCATCTTGTCTAACTCCCTTTCGCCAGTCCCGAATCACCCAATAAAAATCATGTGCACTGTGGGATCCCTGAGACCTGGTACCTGCCAAGAGTTAGACTCAACTACACAAAAGACTATATCCTTCCCATTACCCTCTTTTCCATACTTTCTTTATCATTCCAAGAATTCCAACCATCACCGATAACGTATGACCATGATAATAAACAACACTTAAACACCCAGTATCAATAATAATCAAATAATAATATCATGCATAATATAGTGCTCACGAAATTTAATTAAATCAATCCCCTTAAAGGCTCCCAAGAAATCCCTACCTCGATTTCAAAGCATAAATCCAATTTAGTAAACCACAAGCAAAGCTCTCTATCTCCTCCAATAACATATTTTCCTTGCATCTCTCTTTAGTCCTCTCTAACAACTATCACACTGTATACATGTTATCTCTATATGTAGTA